ATAACACACGCTATAAATCACAGTGATTCACACACTTTACTTACGGTACCTACTGTGTTCGTTTGACTCAATTATCTATCTTTTCAATCTATCTGCATATCTATCTATGCAATCCATCTCTTCGATTTATCTGCCTATATCTCTTCTATCTATGTAATTGCGCTGGTTTTTCTCGCCAGGCTTATATACTAAAAAAGAGGGTGCCTGGCAAACACTCGGATATTCGCGAAGTTCCTCGATAAGTCATGATCCTTCTAGAAACTCCAGCGCGCATGCTCCCAGCATCGCGTCACTTCCGCTGTCGTAACAATACCTATATACATAATTACTGCACTTATATACACAATTAAGATGAACAAGTTGGAGTTACTCACCAACATGAGCCCCAACAACAGCTCTTCCAATGCAGTTGAGAATTTTTATTGCACTGTTGTAGTGTGGTAAATACTCTCTATCTAGCTTTCATGAGATTTTTCCGAGTACATGTCAAATCCTTCCCAGGAGCCAATGTACTTCCTTCTCAAACTGTATTGGTGGATCTCTATGTTTCAACAGACAGCCCTTTTAAGAAATATAAAATATCCAGGCCTCTGTCCACCTGGCTTCCTGATCCTGAAAGCGGTGCTTTAAAAAATGCGATTTGCATCAGCATTAGCTGGTCTTTTACCTTGGTCAGGGTCTTCATGGAGAACTTTACCTTTTCAGTCCTTATCTCTAGACTAGGTTCTTCAAATAATGCCTTACAGACCAATGTCCAAAGCTAGCCTCATAACTCTACCCAACATTTAAATAAAACTCCAGTATTCCCAATGAAAATCTTGCTCCATGTTATGTTATCAGTGACGGATTTATATTGTTTTGAACAACATTTAGAAAAACTTTATGTAGTTCTATAGAAGTATACTACATTTTGGGGTGAATATCGCCAGTTCCTGTTGAAGATTTTATTGTATTCTTTTTAAAAAAAACAGCTTTGTCTTCAGTAAAAAAAATTATAGGATTATTTTCTCACCTATAATCAAATTGAACTAGGCATGAATCTTAGCCTGTCCTTAACATATGAACAACAAGGAAGCAGTTAGTATGTCAAGACTATTTTCTACACTCACTGCTGAGGAAAGAAAAGTAAAAACAAAAATTTTAAACATAGTCCTTTATTCATCTAAATTGTTCAGCATACAAGCTGTTTAAGATGCTAAAAATAAATATGAAGCCAAGCATATCATTTGATTCTTCATTTATCACTGACTTATTACGATTTTGGTGCCACTCCTCATAAGTAACCCCAGACAAAGCAAAACCCTTAATTTGTAGCATTAATGGTACAAAGTCTTCAAATACTGTATAAGTCCATACAATATACAGTCCACTACTATAAGATTACAGATTATGTGTGAAATTCCTTGAAATAATAGGTTGAGCTTCATATTTACTTTAGTACCATAGTTAGCTCTTTCTTTGAATGATTTTTTACAGGAGGATCTAGAATCCAAAATAAAACTTTCAAACAACTACCAATTTTATCACTTACAAGAAACATTTACTAAACCCATGCCTAGCCAGGACTAGATACAAACGTCAATAAGCAATACAACACAAATCTCAGTGTTATTAATTTCAATAACAATGGAATTAGGGGGAAAAAACCAGAAGAAGAAAAACTTATATCCAAAAACAACAACAAAACACAATGTTCCAAAATTAAACCACTTCTCAAGATCAAAAACAATATCAAGCAATAATTCTAACTATATCTCTTGAACTAACTTGTTTACAAGATCAAGAAAGGCTTTTTATTTATTGGTTAGACCACGAGGTTACATCTTATTTGACTAGCTATTACCATAAATCTACATAATCTTTTATAACGTTAATATTTGTACGTCACCACTAGGGGAAGCTTTTATCATTTTCATAATATGTATATACACATAGTCAAAACCAACGTGTTCTAAATAGAAGGTGAGTTAGTGCTCTGATATGTAACTGCAAATTCATACTGATAGTTGAACTAAGCGATAGAAAGAATAATAAATGAACGGTAAACAAATCATAACACATTAATTGTACAATTCGCTATCTCACAAAATCAAGCAAGCCAAATTCGATTTCTTCGTTACTGTAGTGTAATTTGTAATTATTAATAGTCTGAGGGTGGCAATTAACCACTGTAGATTTAGAATTTCTATTTCAGCATTTGACCTGCAGTATTCCTATTATTTTTAGTATTAAGGAATAAGCGCCTGCGATTTATCTTATTTTGTTGAAAAATTACGAAGTTGTCCTTCGGTTTTTTACCTACTCTGCTGCGTTTCTGTACCACAAAGGGGACAATTCATAACTTGGGTTTTAGAAAGGTTAGTATTGTTCGTTAAGATCAGTGCGAAGTTGAACGTAGATTGTGACATTAACAATTCGATGTTATGTATAAGACTTTTTTAAATATAACAATAAATACAAAACGTAATTAATCAAGACATTAGAATTGACCTTATGATTGAAACTTCAGTTACTGATAGACTGTGTAAGCTTGGGATTAACTTTAAGTTTAAAAAGTATTTAATATTAAGTATTCTTTTATGGAATTATGCACGTCAAAACTGTAATCAGTAGGCCTGTACAGTTTACTAGTATTAATATCTATACTATAGTCATTTTGTCAACTGAATTTAAGAAATGTAAGCTTGAAAAAATTTTCTTGAGTAATTTAATAAAAACTGTGATTGCACCTAGCATACGTCAGTTTTAGATTTGTAAATTGTTTTTTATTCTATGTTTGAAATTAGGAATTTAAAGCCTAAGGAAAAGTCTATTTTCAAATTGAAACTGGAAGTGAGTGTAAGTTATAACATAGTCTATCCTTAGCACATAATTTATTTATATAAAGTAGGAATATTATTTTATCATAAAAAAAATTAATGACCAGGTACAGTTTAACTTAAAGTTAAATAGAATTACAGTGAATAATAAAATTTCACTGCAACTTTTAAGTGCAACGGTGCAAGTTATGATCTATGAAGTGACATAAGGCCTACAATAAATAAAGCTAAAAATTAACTGCTGAACTACAACTTCACAGATATTTGAATATATGTAGTTATATTTGAACTTTTTTATCCAACAGTTACTGATGGGGTTCTTCCCATAGGGTTTTTAAACACATTTTTCTGTTAACTATGTAGGCCTGGTGGTTAGGAATCTCAACTCACAATCTGCAGGTAACAGATTCGAATCCATTACCAAATTTGTTCAATCTTTCAGTTATGGGAACATTATAATATGCCTATGAGGGTCAATCCCACTATTCAAGTAAAGTAGCCCAAGAGTTGGCAGTGGGTGGTGTTAACTGCCTTTCCCCTAGCCTATCACTTATAAATTGGGGATGGCTAGCACAGCTAGTTATGCATGTAATTCAACAAACAAAGAAATTAAACTGAGTGTTAAATTGTTTCTTAACCCATGACTTTGTTGATTCAGGGCTCCTAATAACATACATACATGTTATGAGTCTCACAAAACAACGTGAAAAAATATCATGAATGTTGCAATTAATTCTGATGATTACTGTTGTGGATTACTCCGATGTACTTAAATCTTAACACACAAATTTTTTTGATAAACTCTATGTTGAGTGTTGTAACAACCATGTTATACAACTTAAGTATACTTTTTGATATAAATATTTACCTATTATAATCCTTCTCTCCTGTTTTTTCCCTTTGAAAATGCAAGAGCTTATAATCATCATAATGGCCAGCATTGAAAAAATAGTTGCTTAGAACTTGCTAGGTTGGGCATTTGCCTGAAAATACAAATTCTGAGAATCCCAAGTTCTAGTTTCAGCCAGGGCATATTTCTTAACGTCATGTTACATTGTATTGGCACTCATCTAGTGGTCATCTAATCCCTGAAGGCTATCCAGTATTCTAAGCATCTCAGTTTTTGTTTTAAAGTTCACAGTATTCACTAACTTTTGCCAACTCCTGCAAAACATGAATAAGTTCCCACACTTTCAAAAACAGGTACTGCTCTGGTTCATAAAATTTTGGATCTAAAAAAAAATTGCCAACCTCAGAATTCTGTTGCTAATTTACCAGGAGCTAACTTTTGAACAAAGTGATGTGAATATACTCATACAAATGTTACTATACATAACTTTTACTTTGCTATTGTTGTAAGGTGCCATATCATTGAGTGGATTTTTTGGTAAAAATATTGTCAAATCCAGTCTAGGTAACAATAAAAAATTAACTTATTTCTTCAATAAATGAATAATATTTGTGACAGGCTACATTTACTTGTAAGCCTGACTTCAAATACAACAATTCAAATAATCTTTAACAGAACCTTCAAACACTAATGTACACCTAACTTGCAAATGTACAAAACTTACTTCAAGAATTTTAGTCACAGATATATAATAATTCTCGCTGTCTGCTACTAAACTGGATCACTCAATAATCATTGATTTCTCATTTTCTCATTATTATTTTGTGAAATGTCTAGATGATAATGTCACAATCATTACATAATTACAAGCTCCCTCTAATAAACACAAATTTAGATTAAGACATTGAAAGTATAGCTATCATATCTCGGTTACAGACACATGGATTTCCAACTGTAAGAATTTGTGACTTTGGCAATCATGATACATGAGGAGTTACACTGAATTGTTTTGGATGAACAGATGAAGTTCTTGGTGGAATTTTTAGAACTATTAGGATTAAGGAACAGTTTCACTTACTAAGCTATGTATGGCAGCTGAATGAAAACCAAAGGGGACAATTTAGAAATATTTGACTATGCCATAATTTAATTTACACTTTCCTATGATGTTGATGATGATATGAATATATGGAATTTATGCAAAGAAATGATAATCAGATTGAAGAAACAATTTTTTATTCTTATATTCAACTGTTATTTTTAATAAAAATGGTTCAATTTAGCTTGGTCCTTGTTTGGGAAAAGCCATATAAGGACCAGACATGAACTGGTGTCATAGTGTGAAGTGATAATCAAACTTAATTGAACATAATTATGAAATCCAATGGCTTTGATTAGTTTTTATATTCTTTGTTAAGTATTCCTCAATCTTAATTATTCTATTACCTGTTGAACTGGCACATTTAAGCAGACAAAATAACTACTTGTGATTTTATCTGCACATTAAACAGACACCAGGTTATAACAATGATGTTAATGAAATATTGATGTTTAGATTTTACTGGCATCAAATGTAGGTATAAAAAATTGCCAAATGCTAAATTTTGACATGAACAAAGTGAAAAAAAGCCCAGTGGCCCCTTAAAGTTTCATGCTTTTCTGTAATAGAATAATTCTTAAATATATACATTTGTGGTTTACTTACGTAAATTAAAAATAAATGGTGTGGTTGATAAATAAATATCCATAAGAGAGTAAAATAAACAACAGTTGGGTACAACACAGAGTTGCATGAGAATAGTCAACAAAACAGTTGATTATTTGGTGAAATCAAATTAGTAACATATAGTATAAGAAAAACAGTACTTTTGCACTTTGCTCTTTCAAAAGTTATATGTACATGATACCATGAGTTGGTCACTAAAAATAATTTTTCAAGTTTGGGACTCCTGACCAGTACTAAGCTGATTGGATGATGGATCAAATTAACTTTGTGCATGCTTGGTTGATTAGTTGGCCCGATGTGCTGTATGTGATAGTCTGAAGGTGCCATGTTGTGTTGTTAATTATTGGAGGCTTGTTGCTAGATTGAGTTGTGTACTTTGCTGAGGGCTGAAATTTGTACAATGTTTGAGTGTGTGTATGTGAAGGAATAGTCAGAATGGGGGTTATCTACTTGTAGGATTTGAATCCTTATAGCTTTGTTACTAGATCATTGACTTCAGAACACTAGTATAAGCTAATTGTCCCAGATTCATGCCCAATGAAAGGCCAGATTTTTCAGGGTCATAGTGTTATAGGAGGCAAAACTATGGCATAGGGTATGTACTGTTGAGTAAACTTAATTTTAGTACCTAATCTAGGGTGGAGACCAACGATCCTGAAATTAATCTGAACATAACAATTTTTGGAAATTGTTTTGACTGCCACATGTTTTTTTTCCCACTTTCTCTTGCTGCGGTAACCCACTTTTTTGTATGTGATCTAATTTTTGGGGAATTATGCTAATTTGCTTGTTACTTACCAGTACCAAATAATAGGTGAAGCTTATATTTTCACCATATTCTTTAACATAATTGTGCAGCTGTGTCACAAGTGGTGACCAAACTCATATCTATTAAAAATTTAAAAAAAAAGAACTAAAAGTAGTAAGTAAGTTACAGACCATTTAATAAAACAGGTTTTGTTTAAAAATTGTTGAAAAATGATATTAAAATAATATCTTTGCCCCTCCCCCCCACATACACAAAAAATCTTTAATCATAAACAGATTAGGTTCATAATAAACTTATGAAAATTGTTATAAGTAATGAACATGAAATAATCCAAACACAACCCTTCTAATCAAATTCTACTAATTGGAAAAATGTTCATTTATCACCGATCAGTTACGGAACCTTCTAGTATTAGTGATTTTAGATTTATTGTTAACTTCTAATATAGAAATGGTTGAAAAGGTGGAGACTGGAAAACATCTGGGTGCAAGTGATCATTGCTCTATTAGGTTTAGTATTTTACTGCATACATAGATCAGGAATAATGAGATTTTAGTTACAAATTTCAAAAAAGAAAATTTTGAAGGGATACAACAAGAATTATCAGTTGTGAATTGGACAGCTGAATTAATTGGAGACACTGATCAAATGTGGAAAATAAAAATATTTTAAATTATTTAAGGTAAACACGTTCCTTATAGAAAAAAAAATGGCTGCAAAAGGGGCAAGGGATGAAGAAATGCTTCATAAATTTAATAACTAAATTATTTGCTATGTCAGGAGACTTAGATGGTTATA